CCCGGAGACCCAGTCCCTCTCGGGAGGGTAACAAGGGAAAGTGTTCAGTGCAGATCAGTGAGTAAGCACAAGCCCGCCCGTGCTTACCTTGCTCCTGGAGACCCAATCCCTCTCGGGAGGGTAACACGGGAAAGAGTTCAGTGCAGATCAGTGAGTAAGCACAAGCCGGCAGTGTTCTAGTCCCATCAATTCCAGCATTGCCACAGCAATATCCTTGACCCACTGCCTTGGTCATACATAGCTACGGTTAAAGGGGATTTCATTGTTTATAATTATTCAAAATGATAATATGCCACATGAAAGAACACATTTAATAAGATTAGTTTTGTACAGTGAAAACCTTTTGCTTATGCTGAGGCTAAATTGAAAAATAGTTCTTTCTGTTGAGAGGCAACATGAGTGATCCTCAATCATGCATTCCCACAAGTTTATTGATTCAAAGATTATTCAACTTTGATGCCTTAACAAATATGCCACTTTAATATAGAAAAAAGAACATGGGATTTGAAGGCAAATAGAACTGGTTTGAATCCTAGCTCTAGACTTACTAGCTCTATTCCTTGGGTAAGATATTTAACCTTTCTGAGTTATTGTTGCCTCTTCTGTAAAATGGAGTTAATAACACCCACTTGGCTGTTGTATTCTGACACACAAGGGGAAGCCTTGAGTTGTAGTTGACTCAACAGCAACTTGCATTGATAGACATTCTTTAGTTCCTGAAAAGAAAGCCTTCTGAGATTGCCCACTGGCCAATCTTGCACATGCACAGCTAGCCACAAAAGATCTTTTGTCAGTAACAATGTCACCAGTGGAAAAAGTGACTCCTTTTTAGTCACGATAATGCTATTGGTGGTGTGATCAAGAAAGATGTGCCTTTTTCAAATAGCTTTTCTGCCTGATAATCAGCAAGCAGGCTCATGACCTAGATAAGAATATTCAGGTTGGTTGTTTGAACTGATATGCAAAAATGGATGATTTTCTCCTTGGTTTGGAGCAATGAAGAGGTAGAGTTTAGAAACTTCTTTTAGTATTCATGAGTTGAAAATAATATCGCCATTTGATAGTCTCCACAGTTCATCAGAACTAGCACTATCTTCAGTGCAAAGATCTGATATGCAGGGGATGTTCCATCTACATTAGATTAGCTTATCACTAGATATATATTTGAATTTTACTTGAATGTATCACTTTAAAACAATGTGTACATCTTGGGATTTTGGTGAAATACTAGGCCAATATCATCAGAGATGACTAGATAATGAAAAACCAGTAGATTAGATCCTTGAAATGCATACTGTGTCTGTATTAGCACCTATGTACGTTTTGTATGGTTGCCTTCAGAGCTAATTATACTGTTTAAAAACAATAATAGGGAAGCAAAAGATGAAGAAATAGGAAGCTACCCAACTGTGGAATCACCTTTCTGACATTGTTAGAATGCCACACTCTAATATATCGGCAGTCAAAATGGTTATCTAGAACAGAACATTTGAGGCACAGAATTTCCACTGTCTTAATATTTCTTACAAAATCATATCTCTCTGTTTGTTTTGTTTTAAATATATAAACAGAAAACTGATTCAAAGATGGTCACCAGGATATCCCCAGTATGTCTTGCCTGCCAGCGACCTGGTTCTATTTGGCTAAAATGTTTATTGTTGTTGTTGTTAGACGTCATAGAGTTGTTTCCACTCAAAGCAACCCTGTGCACAACAGAACAAAACACTGCATGGTGCTGTACCGTCTTCACAATTGGTGTCATGTTTGACCCCGTTGTAGCCGTGCATCAGTCCATCTGGTTGTGGGTCTTCCTCTTTGATACTGACCTCTACTTTGCCAAGCATCATGTCTTTCTGCAGGGATTGGTCCCTCCTGATAACATGTCCAAAGTACATGAGACTAAGTCTTGTCATCCTTGCTTCAAAGGAGTATTCTGGCTGCACTTCCAAGGTAGAATTGTTTGTTCTTTTGGCAGTCTATGGTACATTCAATATTCTTCACCAACACCATAATTCAAAGGCATCAATTCTTCCATCTTCCTTATTCATTGTCCAGTTTTCACATGCTTGTGAGGTGAATGAAGGTTCTCTGGTGGTGTAGTGCCTAAGGCATTTGACTGCTAACCTGAAGGCTGACGGTTCAAACCCACCAGCCACTCCTTTGGAAGGAAGACTGGGCAATCTACTTCCGTAGAGATAGCACCTCGGAAACCCAAGGAGGGGTCGCTATGAGTAGGCTTCGATGGCAGTGAGCTTTTATAATGTGAATGAAAATACCATGGCTTGAATCTGGCGCATCGTAGTCCTCAAGGTAACATCCTTGCTTTTTAACACTTTAAAGAGATCTTTTGCAGCAGATTTTCCCAATACAATACATCGTTTGATTTTTTGACTGCTACTTTCCATGCACATTGATTGTGGATCCAAGTAAAATTAAATCCTTGACAACTTCAGTATTTTCTCTGTTAAAGATTTCTCCATTTAAAAATACTTGTTAGTGTTTGAAAATCATAACATTAGATTTCCTGCTTTTTCCTCGAATATACAAATAGCAACAGCAGACCAAAGTTTTGTTTTTTTTTTCATGGCTGTTAAGGAGGTACCTAAGGAACTCCGGTGGCATAGTGCCTAAGGCACTTGACTGCTAACTAGAAGGCTGGTGGTTCAAACCCACCAGCCACTCCTTTGAATGAAGATTGGGCAATTGCTTCTATAGAGATACCACCTTGGAAACCCAACGAGGGGTCGCTATGAGTCGAATCAACTTGATGGCAAGAAGTTTGGTTTTGTTTTTTCTATATAGAGTTATAACCAGTTGATGGATCAGTTTTCAATTCTGTCAGTTTTGTACTCTTGGAAAACCTTTCAGTGTTGGAGTATGTCAATATATTCCTTGACATACTTTTAACTAAAAGGATCTTTACCTTTTATATGTGTCCACCAAATTTCAATGCAAAGGGTGCATGGGTCTTTGAGAGATTTAAAAGCTTGACTTTTCTTAAATTTCATCTCCATCCCAATCCACTGAATTTAGTACCTAGAATAGCTAATGGGTCCAAGAAAATCATATTAAATGCCTGTTCCACTTAGCTTCTTCAGATTCTACCTTCGAACATCATAACTGAAATTTGTGAACTCCTGGCCATTATTTCCTAACCTGATGTTGGTGTGTATGTGTGTGTGTGTGTGTGTATACATATATGTATGTGTGTGTGTATACATATATGTATATGTGTGTGTGTATAAACTTGCATTATGTATCACGAACCTTAAAATTTTCATACCCTTTAATTATTAAAAAATAATATAACATGCAGACACCTACACAAAGACTTTTGCAAAAGAAATTCATCATGACATTTTTAATAAATGGAAAATTGAAAACATCACTACTTAATGTGCAAGAACAAGAATTGATTAGATACATTGTGGTACATTGATAAAATGAAGTTTTAAGCAGTTATTGCCAGGTTGATATTCTAAATGGTTTCCTAAAATGCCATACCAAAATTTCTCATGGTGCAGTGTATGATAAAAATCTAAACCAAAATTGCATGCACAGTATGATCTCCCCTATGTATAAATAATAGGAACAGGAAGGAAAACATAGAGAGACATATGCCATCATGTTAACAAGAACATCGCTGTTCCTTTCATATTTTCCAATTATTTTTCCTATCTGTTTTTCTATTGCCCAAATTTCCTATAACAGGCATCATGAAAACCAAATAAAATTTCAAAAAGTAAGATCCAGAAGAACACCACCAATGGAGCAATCGATCCGCTCCATGTTTTCATGGCTATTCTGCCTCTTTGGTGAGCTTTTCTGCTGTGATGATTTTCCTAGGAATTTATAGTGTTAATTCTCCTAGTGAAGAAAAAAACACTACTGAGGGCCGATGATAAGAATCTGTGTCACCTGGTCTCTGTTCTTTTTCAGCACACAACGGTTTTGCCCTTTATATTAATCGAGATGAGGACTTCGCACCATCAGTACCCCAGCAGGAGCAGTGGCCTCCCCGCCATATGTACCTTCTCTGTTGGCTATATATTATGGTAAGGACTGCGCCTGCGGGGCTTTCATAGTGTGTTAGATTTTGCACTGCTAAATTTGGGCACATATTTCATTATGGATATAATCACTAACAGATTCACACTGCGTGCCTCATTTGGTCCAAGACCTGGGCTTTGTCTCATTTCCCCAGATGCTTATATTTTTAGAAAGTATATGCCAAACCTCACACAACAGGAATTTGTTGAACAATCCCATGTAAGCAGTGGTTCTTCCAAGGCTGCATTCAACCCTCTTTCAAACTAAATGTTTTTCTTGGACACCCTTTTTATTGCTTAAGGGCTATTTGCTTGGGTTTGTTATTGTTGTTGCTTTTGTTGAGGATGGGGAAGTTGTAGAAAACAAAACGACAGAAAAATGACCTCTTATAGGAGTAACTTTAAACTTTACATGAAACAAATGAAAATGTACATTTTTCCAAGTCTGTTCAAAACCTATTCCAGAACTAGGTATTATACACAGAATGTATTTAGTTGGGTGTTTGTTTGGGAGATTTTATTTTGCTGTTGTTTGTTTTTTTAATATCAGAGCAAATAAATCACAAAGAATCTACATTTGATAGAAGTCTCAAGTGTGAGGTGTTAAGTTTATCTGATCAAAATTTTTTCCTGATTAGTTTACTTCACATTAATTTTAGTTCGTACCACGATTTAACTTTTCAAAAATTATTTATCTTAAGATAGAGAATGTCTTAATTTCCCTGTGTAATTCCACGTCCTCTTGATACATCTACATAGACATACAGAAGAGGTTCCTCCCATCAGCATTCCTGCCTCTTGGGACTCTTGTCCTGAGTTCTGGGTCACCACTCCTCCTTTAAACCTGAAGGATAGGATAGTGTGTTCTTCCAACATCCCAGACTGTACTTAATCCCAGCCAAAATCCCAGAATGCTTTGGAAGGCCCAGTCTCCGTGGAGCAGTTTGCTGCAGCCAGCCCAGAAATATAAAATAAAAGTCAGTGCAGCACTTCACAAACTTTGCATAATTGATCACAAAATGGCCCTGATCTGAGCAGAGAGAATTTGCTGGTCGGAAGTCACAGCCTGAGGCTGGATCTAAGGGAACCCCCGGACTATGGACCCCAGAACAAACGTGCTGTAAGGTTCACCCATCTGCCACCTCATCAACTAGTCAGCAAATTGTTTTCTTAGTCATTTTCTATATTTGTCTCCATCTGAAACCGTAAGTGTCTAATTTCTCTGATAAAAAAGGTGCAAACAATCAGGGCCCAAGGTGAAATGTGACTATCATAAGTCTTTATAAAAATGAACTTACATGATTTATATTTTCAACTTGATATTCAAATGGCTGTTAGGTTTCAAAAGAGTCAATGTAGTTAGGCTACACAATTATCCCAGGATGCTACTATGTTTAGGACATATCTGGAACTGCCTATAGCATTAGTGTAAAAATCATCCACTCATCACCACCACTTGCTGCTCCTGACCCCAAAAAAAATAGTCCCATCACTTTGCACTCGAATTTGTTTACTTGTGGCAAGACAAGTTCTTTACTCTGGGAATTCTAGGTATATGTCTGAATTCAATCATATCCCATTAAATTATCTGCATTGTGTATTCTCTAGAGGCTTCTGAAATTATATGCTTTCTGATGGACTTCTTCCGTCGGGGGTAAAATCAGGCTACATTCCAAAGAGACACATAGAAAATACCACATATTCCTTATTACAGCCCCCCATGATCTCACATTAAATTGAAACTCACAAAAAATAATAATAAAATAAAAGGAAGCTTACTCAGACCCTTCATGCTAAGTGAGCCTTACTAGGTCTGCTTACCCGCTGCAAACCAGTACTTGTATGGACAAGTATTTGCATTCACCAGCTAACTCTCTCAGATTTGTTCTGAAAAAGCTTTCAAATTCGACTTTTTCCTTTGGTATTCTGCCCTAGGCATTCATAGCGCTGCCAAGAGTTAAACAGTGCCCCTCATATTGTGTCACATTATATAAACCCAAGGGTTTTCATTCTTATCAAAAAGGTACTGGCTTTTGCTCCCCTCCAGACTACCTCAGGGCCTACATACCAGTGACAGCAGCAAAAGGCTCAGGATATGAAATCTTTTGATAATATACCAGTGTTGTCACTGGACGTTCCAGACCTCGTGCCAAAATTTAGGAAAGCATGCCTCTTATCACTTGTTCGTTATAAGTAAACAGATTTCCCCTATAATACCGGGTATGCTTGAGCTGAATCTGTACCTCAGCGGTTCCTGGGCAGGCTGCCTGTCTGCATAGCTCTGGCTCTTGCATGCTCTCCTGTCTCACAAGTTTCCCTCTCTGTCTGAACCTATTCTGTTCCTGGGTCTGGATAACCAGACTTGAGAAAACAGAAAAAAAAAAACCTGTCAATGACGAAATTCTCATACTCTGTTAGGAGTGAAGGAAAAGGAGTTTTACTGAGGAATAATACAACCCGGAGCTGGGTCAGAGCTGGGTGTCCCTAAGTAAAAATACAAAGTATTCTGTTGTTCAAGTGAAGAGGATCTATACAGAGAGAGTAAAGGAAAGGTAGGAGGTTAATGGTTGATTGTAGATAAGATCAACTTCAGCTTGAAGTCCTTTGAAATGTAAAGGTCAGTCACTTGGTTAGGAGGGGGAGAGAGTTACCACCTAGGTGAGTGGCACCAGCTAGTTTGGCTATACATGATTTCAGCCATGAACACACTTTTCCCCAGGTACAAATTGTTTACGTCTTGACACAACCTTCCCATGAACAAATGGTTTACGTTCTGACCTTTTGCTTCCTGAGAATGCATTTTGGTCCCATCATTCTTTTTTTTTTTTTAATTTTTATTGTGATTTGGGTGAAAGTTTACAGAGCATATTCATTTTCCATATACCAGTTCACATACACTTTGGCTCATGACATTGACTGCAGTTTCCCACAATGCAACAGCTCTTCCCACTTCCTGCTTATAGTTACTTCTTCCCTGTGTCCTTTCCTCCCATGTACTTCTACCCCCATGCCCAGTTATCTCCCTGTACATACACAGCCCTTCTATTGTCCCATGACTGATCTCTCCAAGGAATATATCTACCTTAATGTAAATGTTCAGCTCATATGCCTGTCCTTTGCTTGGCTGGAAGCCACAGGAGTGGGTTCAGTTCTGAAGGGTAACTAGGGGCCATAGTCTCAGGGGTTCCACCAGGCTCTATCAGACCAGCAAACCTGGCCTTTTTTTATTATGATTTTGAGTTTTGTTCCACATTGTTCTCCCACTCTCTCCAAGATCTCCTACACAGATCCCCCTCCGAATGGTTGACAGTGGTACACGGGCACCATCTACATCTTCTGGTCTCATAGTCATACAGGCTGAGAATCACATGGTGTACCAGTCCCTTGGACTAATTGTTTCCATGCATCTTTGGTGTTCTTCATTCTTCTTTGCTCTGGATGAGGAGAGACCCATCGTTGCGTCTAGATGGCCACTTGCAAGCTTTTACAATCCCAGTCGCTACTCACCAAAGTAGGGTGTGGAACAATGTTTTGTGTAGTATGCTATGCCAATCAAGCTTTATGTCCCCTGTGGGACCCATCATTCTTAAGTCTGACATGAATGCCTACAGTTTGAAAGTTTTCTGTTTATAACACTTTCCTCACTGGATGGACCCAGTGAGTTCTCATCCCCAGTCAGCTCCATTTCCTGACCTCTACCTTAGTTAATAGGAGCTCTGGTAGCGTAGTCCCTAAGGCACTTGACTGCTAACCAGAAGACTGGCGGTTCAAACCCACCAGCCACTCGTCGGAAGGAAGGTTGGGCAATCTACTTCCATAGTGGTACTGCCTTGGCAACCCAAGGAGGGGTCGCTATGAGTCGGGGCTGACTCGATGGCAAACAACAACAACACCTTAGTGAATGGTCCCAGTCCTCCCCCATCTAATATCTGAGGCCCCCAGACTTCTTCCATGCCCACTTGTGCTCACCACACAAACTCACCACACAAACTTTCTCTACTCACCAAGGTGTCTAGGACACAAACATTCTTCTGTTCATTTGTGGCAGGGTCTCATTCTTTTCCTTCACATACACACACACCCCATCACTATCTTCACCACCATACATGCATTCTTGCACCTTATTTGTGGGATTTACCCCAATAAATGAAAGGTCTTATATTATGTCACTCCGGATACAACTCAGAGGCCCTCTAATGCAATGGTAATTATCAGGAATCATAATGATTACCCCACCACTTTCTGTCAGTTTGTCACACAGTGGTGGCTTGCATGTTGCTGTAAGGCTGGAAGAGGCTATACCATCAGAATTTCAAATACCAGCAGGGTCACCTGTGGGGACAGGTTTCAGCAGAGCCTCCAGACTAAGAGAGAGTCTGATGAAGAAAGGGGCCATCCACTTCTCAAAGAATTGGCCAGTGAAGATCGTATGAACAGCAGTGAAATACTGTGCAATGCAAAGATTGTGGAGCTGAAACAGATCCAACAGTGTTTCGTTCTGTTGTTAATAGGGTCACTATGAGTTGGAGTCACCTCAATGTCACCTAACAACAACATAGTGACCACCATTTATGAGGATTTCTTTTAAGCCGTATTTCCTAAATCAAAAACCAAAACCACTGCTGTCAAATCTATTCTGACTCATAGCAAACCTAAAGGACAGCAGAACTGCCCCTCATAGGTTTTTCCAAGGCTGTAAAGCTTCACAGAAACAGACTTCTTCATCTTTCTCTCTTGGAGTGGCTGGTGGGTTTAAACCACCAACCTTTTGGTTAACAACAGAATGCTTTAACTACTATATCACCAGAGCTTTCAGCAAAGGCTTGGACTCCCCAGGTGGTGCAAGTGTTTCATGTGCTTGGCTGCTAACCAAAAGATTGTCAGTTTGAGTCCACACAGAGGCACCTTAGAAGAAAGGTCTGTGTATCTACTTCCAGAAAATTAGCCATTGAAAACTCTGTGGAGCACAGTTCTACTCTAACACATGGGGTCACTATGAATTGGAA